AGCACCACTCTCAAGGAAAATTGTGATATCCTCTTTACTCAAATTAATAGTATTTTCAAACTTTTTCATCACCTTCTCCGTTGTTTCTATCACAGTTTGGAACTGATAAGAGAGGTATTTTCAACAAATATCTCATAGTTTGGAAGCACTTTAACTACATTTTCATGTTGAGACAACGACAACTCCGTTGCCACTATTTTCTCTCTAGCAATCTCTCTCTTTCTTGCTTGTTCATCTCTTGGATCCAATTGGTTCTTTTTTTTTTTGGACTCAAGCCTAAGATCTCTCTCTAAACCTTTCACATAACTTATAAAGTTAATTTGCCTAATATTCATATTGGGTTCAATATTAAAGAATATAGCTAGCCGTGAAAATGGACTATTTCAACAAGTAACCAAATGACTAATGGGTTTATGATTTATCCATATCTTCAGTATCATATTACAGCATTGCCACTGCCTCTAGGTTCTACAGCATGTTGAACCATCGTCAGATCGCTGTCACGATTTCCGAAATCACCGTCGCCATTGGAGACACAACCGCAATCAAGACCTCCTCCTCCATCGTAACTACGAATCCGGTCTCCACCACCACCGCTATCAAGACCTCCTCCTCCGCCGTAACTACGAATCCTATCCCCACCACCACCGCAATCAAGACCTCCTCCTATGCCGTAAGACCTCCTCCTTCGCCGTAACTTTTAATCCAGTCTCCACCACCACCGTAAGCAAGACCTCCTCTGCCGTAACTACTAATCCGATCTCCACCACCACCGCAATTATGAAGTTGTCTTAGCTCTCTCTTCTCTCTTGAAGTAAGGACATTTTTGTCCTAAATATAGAAAATATAGACTGTATCATAATCATCTCTTTCTTATTGTTAGTGACCAATTATAAAATTTTTGATAGTTAATACTGCTAAATTCCCTAACTTATTATATACATGAAACAAAAAAACTTTATGATGGACTTGGGTCGTATTTGTTTAAAAAAATATTGGTTGGGCCTCTGAAAAATATAAGATCCCATATTTGGCAAATTGAGTATGAAAGTTTTTCATAGAACTAAAAATGAACCAGTACATAGAAAAATTTGATACCGGTTGGAACATAGATTGCATGGAAACTCCGAGTAAGGTCTGTTTCCTGTTTCGAAAACAGAAACGCTATAGAAACGTGGGGAAACGCGATGGAAACGCGTTTCTTACAATTTTTAATTTCGAAACGCAATGGAAACGTCTTTTCCATTTCAGAAACGCGATGGAATCGTCGTTTCCATTTTGGAAACGCGATTATTGATTTGAAAACAAATTATGTAAATACTTTGGAAAATTAAAGATCTATTTGTTTTGTTATTTTTAATAAATTTTAAAACCTAATTATAAAACACTCTCATTTTTTCATTTTTAAACATTTGATTTTGAGTGTTGTTTTTTATTTTTTAGTTAAACTATTTAATATTTATATATTAGATTTGTGTTATTTTTTTTTTTTTTTTTAATATTGTTTTAACTTTTGATATTTTTTTTGTTTTATGATATACATATATACACATATATACACAATACGTATCCAAAACGTTTTCATTTCCTTTTTTTTTTTAAATTTGTTTTCGCTTTCCTAACATTTCGCTTCTGCGTACCCATTTCCGATTCCATGCAACTTAGGTTAGAACAAAAACGTGATCGATCACAAAATCAAGCACTTGCCTTCGCAGGTGGTAATCTTCGTTCCCCGTCTTCTCTTTGAAAGAAGCTTTTACATTTTCCAGTTCCATTTAGCTGTAAATTGACTATTGTTACAATTTTTTGTCAACGAATTACGAATTCGGAAATTGTAATGGTAAGATATTCGGTTATATATCTTCGCTAAATCTAAAGGAAAATGTGTTCTTCGT